GTGAAGAGGAATAAAGGTGAAACTGTAAATCATATGAACAGAAATCATACAAACACCTTAAAAACAGAGAGACAATAAGGGCCAGAGGTATATTTAATATGAAGAGGAAGCTACAAATTGATTAAAGTGCATCAGGTACAAAAGTGAGGGGCAAATGAATAACAAAGAGAAAATCATGGGACAAATCTGGGCACTGAGAGTTAGAAAACAAGCATGAGTAGGGGAAATACAAGAAAAAGTTGCAACAGAAATTTTATTTAATATCCTTAATGGGCAACAGATCTGATCAAAATTATTTCTTATTTTGGTGTGCTGTGGCCAGTGTGGTTAAGATGGTTTGTGACTTTGAACTGAACTGATCAGCTATGGGTGCAAAGAAAGTGAGATCATTATTATTATCATGACCATCTGTATCCAACAAGGGGCACAAAGTAGGGGGTGGCAGGGAGGGAAATCTGTAATGAAGCAGAGAACTGAACTAGTGTCAATCAACCCCCTACTCAACTCTCTCTATTGTTTTAAGTAAACTCCTGATAACGTAGGCTTAGATAGTCAGAGACCTCAATGAATTTCACATCACCAACTGCCACCAAGCAATGCAGCTCAAAATTAGGAAACCTTCTGTGTGAAAAAAAATGTTTTTGCAGTCCTCTTAATTGTAATAAGAACAAGACAGCATAGTACAACACTTGAAAGCTGTGGCAATTCTGAAGAGCAAATAGAGAGAGAGAGAGAGAGAGAGAGAGAGAGAGAGAGAGAGAGAGAGAGAGGGGCAGTATTATGAAACTAACCATTTTGGCTACAGAGACATAAACATTAGGGCTGTACAAAACTTCAGTTCCTGATTCGATTTGGCAGAGATTTGGCCCTATTCGGTGGCCGTATCTCTGAATCCAAATTGAATCAAGAAACCCTTTAATCTCTCCGAATCGAATCAGAACCTTCCAAATTGATTCGGACAGATTCAGAAAGATTCAACAATCCGGACGCAGACGCAGCTTCAAATGTTTTTTCTACATACCTCAAGGTACCAGGTGGCTCATGAATGCTGAGATGCTGGGGCTGATGGAGCATCCCACAGGAGCACAGGGGGGCTCCCCAGAGCGCTCAACAGCAGACCTGGAAGTGGACCAGAAGCACTTCCAGTTCACTTTGGAGCATGCAGGCCCCCCTCCCCCCCACCCCGAGCCCACCTGACTTAGCGATTGGTGCCTCCAGGGTCTGGGGTCCTCCTCTGGCCGATCGCTGAGCCAGGGGAACATATGGGGGTGAGCAGTGCGTTCGGCGGCGGATGGATGGAGCGTCCCACAGGAGTGCGGGGGGGGGGGAGGGGTGTCGGGGGCGGATGGAGGGGGCGTCCCCCAGGAGGGCGGGGGGGGGGGAAGGGGGCGCGCATGGTCAACGGCAGACCCGGAAGTGGACTGAAAGTACTTCTGGTCCACTTCTGAGCCCACCATTGAGCACGTAGGGGGCCCTCCCCCACGCTTCTGTGGGTCACTCCAGTCACCCCAGCGTCGCAGCATTCACAAGCCGCACCTGGTACCTTGAAGTATGTAGAAAAAACATTTAAAAGCTGTGTCTACGGCTGAATCGCTGATTCTCCCAATCAGCATAGAATCGGGGACAGTGATCCAAATCAAGAAATTGAATCACTGTCCCTGATTCGGGCCGAATCCAAATCAAATATAGCCTGTTTCACAGCCCCCTAATAAATGTGCATAAGCTTTCAACAACAAAAAAAAAATTTCTACAGATTTGTGTACTGCAGGGACCTGGTTTTTCCTTGGGTAAGTCCAAGGTGATGGTTTTAATTAGTGTGCAACTGAACTTCTGTGATGTGGAGTTGTGATGAAACATTTCTAAGGAACTATAAATATTTAAGCAAAGAGAAGACAGAAAAAAGTTTAGGAAAGGATGAATCTTTTCCTTGTGGGTCGTTTTCTAAATACAGTGCAATTTAAATATAATCTAAATTGTTACAGGAGAGAATTTTGAAAGCAGGGTTGGGTTGGGTTTTTTTGTTTTTTTTTGTTTTTAATAAGAGGCAAAGCAAGGAAAAAGAAATGGAAGCATTTAGGGAGGAAGTATGATTTTATTTACTGCAAGGCTTACTTCAAGGGTTTCTTTTTTTTCCTATAAATACATATTTTATTTAATTAGTCTATAACGTACAAGTTCACCCTGCCTTATTTAGTATGTGTGTGTATATAATTTTTTCACATCCATTTACATCCATTAAAGTTACATACTGCTCTGTATCACAAGACATCTGCAGCATCTTGTGGTGTCAGTTTGTGTAAATGGTACCACAAAGCAGTTCTGTAGAGTAGCCTCGACTCATTCTGTGACCAGGTACCGAGGGCTTGTCTATACAGCTCTGCGCCATCCCCAAATCCCAGGAACATGTTGTGGCTGCCTTAGAGTGGCCCTGAGCATGCAGGAAAAACACACGAGACTAAAAGTGCCTTTGGTGCATTGCCTCATATTCAAGAGTTTGCATGTAGAGCAGGACAGGGCGTGTTTCAGGTAGTGCCCCAGGCTGCAGCAGGGATCCAGATTAGACAGGTCCTCTCTTAAACAGGAATCTCCCTCACTTCAGAAGAACCACTTGGGTGAGAAAACTATTCAGCAGTGTAGGGGGACTGTAATCTAGCACTTAGAAACTAAGCAGTGATTCTCTCTCCTCTTGAAAGAGGCCTGTCTCTTCAGGCACAAAGCTCTTGTCTTCAAACTGCAGTGCCCCTCTTGAAATCATTGACAGACATTTCTCCATGGAAGTTCAGATCTCTGTAGTCAGGCAAAACAGAGATGAAAGTACAAATGATCAGCTTCATTCTGCCCCCATTTTCACCTCTGCAACTCTAATGAAATTGGAAGGAAAAGAAGCAGACTTTGGCCCAAATGCTGCATACTAAAAGCACATCAACATGTTTGCTGAAAGAGAGGGCTGAGACACAATGAGCTACACCTCCTCAAATTTAAACCTTTATGTTTCCTTGAGAATAGTTAATAACCAATGCTCAGTGATAAAGTTGATCCTAAACTAGAGGCATGCTATGAGTTCTCTCAATGATAAAGGAAGCATTTCTTACGTACAGACATAGCAGAGCTGCATTTATTTTTACGTTCTGCATCCTATTCCAAAAAAATACTAATTATATTACCTTTTGTCCCATTGTGCAGTGCTATGTATATCACAGACAATGAATATGTACATCAGATGCTGAGGAGGAGCAATTTCCTTTGGTTGTTTTACAAGTGAAGGATTAAGCCACAATTATGCAACATATTTGAAAAAAAAAAAAAAAAAGGATAATACTGAATGTAATCACACATCAAATAGGAGGCCTTGGCAAGGTTGATATGTTCACAAGTGAAATGTTTGCAGTGAAGCCTAAAACCATTCTGATTTTCAGGTTTTGAACCAACATAAAATCTTAGGTTACATGATTGCTGTGATCCTTGCTAAGCAACACAGGCAGAGAGATTCATAGAGGTTAGGAACTGGAAGGGACCTCTTGAGATCATCAGGTCCAGCTCCCCTGCACTTAGGCAGGAAAGACTGCTGGGGTCAAATAACCCCAGCAAAGTGCATGTCCAGTCATTTCTGGAAGATCTCCAGGGTAGGTGATTGTACCACCTCTGGGGGGAATCTGTTCCAGACCCTGGACACTTAATGATTCTGCATGGGAAAATACAAGCAACTCATAGTTTCTGTATGAAACCAGTTGAAACCCTGTGACTTCAACCACAAGAATAAATGTTTTAATTTGCCTGTAACTCACACTTGAAATATTTTGAGTGAAACTCAAACCTCTCACTCATTCCTAAACAAATTATACAACTTTTAGGCAATTACTTATGGCACCAGTATTAGGGGCTGGGACACGCAGCAAAAAAAGATTTGCCTTTTCTTGAATGAAAAAGAAAACAGACTTCAAATTACATGGGTAAGTGGCCATGTAGCTATTATTAAAAGAAAACGCGTTCATATAATTTTGAAATTCCTATTTCTTCAGTACTTCAGAAAGATTCAAAAGAGTGACACAACCAGGGGGAAGGGAGGGGCAAAGGGGTACAACTAGGAGGTGGGGTGAACCATTACCTAGGCTGATCAATGTGGTTATAACAGGAAAGGATGCAACAAGGGTAAAAGTGCTGTATGGTTCGCAATCAGGACCAGCTGGGTAGTTGCAGCGTCAAATGGCACAAAAGCAAGTAGCCAGTAACCTGAAAGGAGTAGTAGGGAAGTTGCAGGTTAGTAGCAGAGGGAAGCAGACAGAAGGGCTGCATACAAGGACTGCCATCTGAAACAACACAATGGCTGCCAGTTGGCCGGGTTGTTGGGGAGAAGCTTGTACAATGTGCTTCTGGCTGCTTAGAGAGGATCTGTGTGCCAGCCAATGGAGCTGCCAGGGAAGCAAAGGAAAACAATGTGTGGGCTGGAGAGAAGTTAAATGTGAGCCAGGTAGGTACAGCTAGCCAGCTTTGTCAAGTCAACATTTCTCCAGTAGTGCTAAAACCCTTTAGGTGAGCAATGATTCCAACATGCCCCAGAAGCAGTGCATTTCACAGGGAGGCAGTTGCACTGAGGATCTCCACAGTGACAAGCATCTGCCTATGAATGTCTGACTGCAGGATTGGGGCCAGAAATTATGTGAATGCATTAGGCAATAATTATTTGAGTCCAGAATTTATTAGCATTTATTCAAGCCATTTTGCAACGTTTCAGTTATAAAGAATCGTGCACACTGATCACAGTCAGTCTGGTGTTTTCATACATCAGTCACCATGGTATAAGAACCAAAAAGGGACCAAAGGCTTTCAATCAATAAATGTGGTTATATGGTATGTGTCTATCTTACTGATAAATAAAAAGGTTCCACAGGCTAGAAGACTGGTATATAAAAAAAACACAATGTACATTCAGCAATAATTTGGATCAACTTTAATCCATGCAGCTTTATGGCAGATCAGCGAAAAGCATAAAAAAGTCATACCTGCTTTGTAGATCATTAAGGTGCAGTTCGCCTACATAATGAACAGCTGACGAAACAGAGATGATTCTAGCATTGTGACTGTGTGTTCCTGATAGCTTCAACATATCCAAGAGGAGGTTAGTCAATAGGAAGTGTCCCAAGTAGTTCACACCGAAGTGCTCCTCAAACCCATCCTCTGTTTTCCTTTCAGGGACCAGCATCACCCCAGCTGAAAGAGAGAGGCAGAACTTGGCTAGACAGTGGATGTATCCTTCCTGGCATCCTCTCCTGAAGTTTTAAAAGCAGTCCACAGTCAGGATAAAAGCCTCAACAGTTTGGTTAGGGGATGAGAAGAAAGCTGGAATAAATCTGTCCCATAAATACTATCAAGACTGATTTTATATACTTCTATGTATAAGTGCGTTTTTTATACATATCCGAGAATATGTATACACATAAATGAGACTCACTTATATTTAAAAATATTAGATAGAGATAGTCCTAAGCAGCATGTATGTTGATTATTAAATATGTAATTCTGTATGCCTAAAGTTAGCTACTTAAATCCATATTTAGACCTTTAAATAAAAGTGGCTCATAGTATACCTACCCTTCACACTGCAGTGTCGCATAGACATACCTGAACAAGTTTTGAATAAGTCAGCTCAGGTACCAGATTCATGGCTGCATGGATATCTGTGCAAAATAATTGCTCTGCTTCACTGAAAATTTAATTGACAAACAAATGCTATTAGGCTACAGGACACCTGAAATGAATTATTCCCAGAGAATCCATGGGCTTAACTGTGGCCCACCTGATAAAGCTGACATCCAAATTCAAGTCTCAGCTGGCAATGAGTCCTTAAGAGCAGTGGAGTTCAGGCAGAAAGAATGGGAGGAGGAGGGGGGAGAAGTGACATCCTGTCAGTGATGATTTCATTTACAGGATTGCAGACAACAGCTTAAATACCTAAGGGTGCCTATACATGTGCAGGGGAGCTCCTCTGATGTGCTGTAATTACAGTGCTACAGAAGACTCGATTAATCAAGTCTCCAGCATCACATATATCAGAGTCCCTCCCTCCCTCTCTCCCCCACTCTTAGAGCACATCTATAAATGCCCTTAGGGTGGAATTACATGTTGCAATTAGCGTAGTTCTTGCCAAGGGTGCTTAAAACTTGAAAGATTGTATGTTCCAGCTTGTTAAATAATGCTAAGTACCCTTTAGGCATCTTATAGTTATTAGAGTTACTGTATTTCCAGTTCCAAAAAAGAGGACACCTGTTATGCAGGGGCGGGAAGGGGGGGAGAAGGTATATGATTGTGGGGGGCAAAGATATGTCAGTGCCCTGCCCCTGCCTGTTCCATTGCCCCTCACTCCCAACCTGCAGTACTCCACCTCCCTGGGCCATGCTGGTGCCCCTCACTCCCAGCCCACAACCCCCTGCTCCCTCCAGTCGTGCAGCATCTCCCAGCCACCTAGCCCCTGCAAGCAAGGGCACCGGCCCCAGTGCCACCTCTCTGCTGCCCCTGAAGGGCTCTGCTGTCCTCTTCTCTTGCTGGAAGCACAGGCACCTCCCCTGCCCTGCTGCAGCCCCAGCACCCAGAAAGCTTCCCCCACTGCTGGCAGTCCACCCACCCCCCTCAGACACACACCCTGCCACGCAGACATATGCACACACATACGCACATGCACACACGTGAGGCCCCCCACCCCCACAGCCCTGGCCCTCCAATCCTAGCCCTCCACAGACTTACTTGCATCCAGCTGCCAGGGCTGTTCCCACCACCCTGCCTGGCTGTATGCTGGCCACATGCATGTGTGCCCTGCCTTCAATCACCCTTCCCTGACTTTCCCCCAGCTCCAGGAAGCTCTTTGCTAGGGCAAGCCAGAAAGAACTTTGAAGCTGAGCTGACCAAAATTCCAAACATTTGATCATATTTAAAAAAAAAAAAAGCTCAAACGCAGATCAGAGGATCCAAAAGGAGGACGTGTTTGGGAAAACCTGGACGTATGATAACCCTAGTCGAGAGACTGCAAACACCTGCATTGGGCTAAGGAGCCCCAGCATTGGCAGCAGTTGCATGCTTGCCTAAGGGTTCATGGTAGGGAAGAGGCCAGGGAAGTGCAACTTTGGCTTCTCCCTAGGTGTCCACCCAGAGATGCACATGCAGCTGCCTCCAGCAGAGTCGGGCCAAGGCTCAGCCGATCTTGGTCCAGCTGTTTGCAGCCTCCCTGCTGCCTGCTGTGAGCAGCCCAGATTCCGTGATGGGCGTCAGAGGCCTGCCCAGAGCCCAGACCAGCTGTGGCAGGCAGCTGGGAGGCTGCAAGCTGCTGCACAGAGGTCTGCAGAGCCTCTGCCCTTCTTGTTGGCAGGGGAGGGGCCAGGGTTGCAGTGCCCCAGCCCCTTCCCCACCATGTGCACTGAAGCATGCATGCAGCCACCACTGTCCTTGGAACAGTCAGCCTGTCTGCTGCCTGCTGTGAGCCCAGCAGCAGCTGCATGTGTGCGTGGTAGGGAAAGGGCTGGGGCAGTGCAACCCCAGCCTCTACCCCACCATCCACCTGCCCCTAGCAGTGAAGATCCGACCTCTCACAGCTCCCCCCTCCCCACCAACCCCATCTGCCATTGGCATGCCAAGTCAAGGCATGGGTTGAGGTTGGGATGTTTTTGGTACTCTGGCCAAAAACGTTGCCAACCCCTGGTTCAGATGATGGTGTTTCATGCATTCATGGATTTTCAGGGCCTTGGATGGGTGAACTGAAACATGCTTAGGCAGCCAAGTCCATTTATGAGCATAGTAATTGGAAGTAAATCTGACCTGACTGCCTACACCTCTCCACCCAAGTCACACAGCTCCAAGAGTAGCTTGGGGCTGCTCAGAATTGTTTCTGGAGAAAGCAGCCAGTGGTCCTGAGGAACCCAGGCCAGCTGGGAGCTTGTGTGGGAAAAGAAAGGAAGAGCTACCTAGAGCACTGGTTTTCAATGTTTTTAGACTCCTGGCACATGTGGGAAAGGGCCAGCTCTTAGTTTTTGCTCTTTACTTCTTTGAATGCCTGGAACACAATAGAATAATTCATGTCTGGCAAACAGACTCAAAAGGAGCACAGCAAGACAAAAGGGTTTTTAACACCTATGGAGTCCTATCTGATGTCTCTGGGTTTATCTTGTAAGTCATGTTTGCATCCCCAACATGGCTAGTGCCTCACGGCACCCTTGAAAGGATCTTAAGGCACCCCAGGGTGCTGCTGCTGTACCCCGGTGGAAAATCACTGGCCTGGAAGCCCTCCAACTCCACCTCCTGGGCAGGAGGGCACAGAAAGAAGGGAGCTTGGGATGGAGACTTCAGGGGGAAGCAGCATGGCACAAGGCCCACTCTTGGGCAAGTTTCAAAAAGGAAATAAAAAAGGGCAGACAACAGGGCTGGAGGAAATGTGGGGGAGGGGGAGAAAAGAAAGTGGGAGAGGGAGGAGGGAAGTGCCCCTGCTTGCCCCATTTGTCATGCCCAGGTACTGAGGGACCATGGCTACACTCTATCCCTGCCGGCACCCGCACACCACAGTGCCCCTCTGCAGTGTGGGGAGACCCTGCCTCCCTCTGCCTGCACCCTGCCTCAGCCTGAGCGCTGTTGTTGCACAGCTCCAGTCCTGCACGGTGCTGACATGCAGATGGGACAGTGCAGCAGGTCCCACAACTCCTGCAACTGCTGGAGCGGGCACCCAGGGCTCCCCCACCCTGCCCCATCTGGGGCCCTGCACTACTGGGCACCCTCTTCAAACCTTCCTGGAGCAGCCTGCTCCTCCCCCCTCCAGGGCCTGGCCCAGAGGGTGTGCAGGTACTAATGTCCACAGGGTCCTGACTGAGCACATGAGCCATAACACTGGGCAAGCGCAGCAGCAGCCGCCTCCTCCCACCCATGGCAGCAGTGATCCTGAATGGAAGAGGAGGCAGCGGCAGCAGGGGGGCCACAGTGGTCACCACAGCAATGCCCCAGTGGGTGGTCACTGCCCACTTCTGTGTCACAGTGAAGCCCTGTCATCATCTCCACCCACCCCATGGGGCAAGTGTGATGGGGCAGGACGAGCCCTGCTCCCCACAGCTGGGAGGGAGGGATGGCAAGGGGCTGGGATTGGGTTGGGTGAGTAGCCACCATCCAAGCCAGGTAGCAAAAGCAAGAATCTTGCCTGCATCTGGCATGCACAAGAAGCGTAGTAAAGCAGAGGCAGAGCAAAATACCGGACATTTGATGACATTTGAAAAAACTGCCTGGATAGAGATGGGAGGACCCAAAAAGAGGATGTGTCCAGGAAAATCCGGACGATTGGTAACCTTAATGGTTATGCCACTTCAGGGGAGGATTATCATTGATTGGTGTTAGTTATCTAGGTTTAAGCATGCTTTTGAGCACTCCACTGACAGAAAACAACCAATTTGGAGTCCTCCAACATCCCAGGATGTACCCTTCCCAGCCTTTCCCGCTCTCTGGCTCTAAGAACAAACTTTCTACCCCCCTGAGCTCTACAGCAGCTGGCAAGCCCCAGGAAGGAGCTGCGGAGGCCTTGGGGGGGGTGTTCCTCAGCAACCCACCCACCCCCAGCAGCCTTCACCACATGCCTGCCACTGCTCCCCTAAAAAACTGCAGCCACCCAGTTGGAAGACACTGTCCCTTTATACTTGAAGGAGCAGCTGGGAAGATAGCAGGAAGGGAGGTGCTACTGGCCCTGGCCATGGCTTGAGCTTCGTTCCCTGGGAAGGAGGAAAGGGGGGGTGTCAGCCAATAAACAGTGTGGGGTCACAGGTCTCCAGGCACAGTGCCCTCAGGGCCCACATCTCTTACTATCCACAATGAAACCAATGAAAGTCTAGAACCTTTATTTTTTGCTCTTTTAACTTCAATCAAATAAAAAGATTGAAAAAAACCTAACTTTTATATAAAACCCACCATGTCCATGTTTTTTCCACCTCCAGGCATACTGCTCCCCACTTTTGTTCCCCTTCCTTTCCCCCAAGCAGGAAGATCCCAGGTATGGGCTCAAACTGCCCCTACTCACCAGCACCCTAATGGCAAGTCTGAGCAGTATGCATTAGAGAGGATATTAACTCTTAATGCACCACTAATCATTAGCATGTGATAACCTTAACACTAACTACAATTCCTTACAAACTCAAACCTAGGAAGGAAGGGAGCTGATTGTAGAGGGATTTGCACTTCCCCAATAAAATAAA